GCTAATGAAAGAGCCCTGGAAGCATAGTGGATTATGGGTTGGACTGCTAACTGCAAGGTCAGCAATTTAAATCTAACAGCTGCTCCTTGAGGGAGAAACTCTACTTTGCACTTGTAGAGTTATAGCCTTGGAAATCCTATACAGGGTGGCTATGAGTCAGAACTGACTCAAAGGCATACAACCACAACCATTACCACCACCGCCACCAATGGCTAATGATTGCAAACATTTCTTCATGTTTGTTAGCTGTCTGAAAGTCTTCCTTGGTGAAGTGTCTTGTTCATTTTTCAATTAGGTTGTCCTTTTCTTCTAGAGATGTTGTAGTTTTCTATAAATTTTAGAGATTAGTCCATTGTCTGATATGCCATTGCAAAAAAATTTGTTTTTCCATTTCTGTGGCCTCTTTTTTTACTGTTTTGGTGAAACATTTTGATGTGCATTAAATATCTAAATTTTAGAAAGTCCCAGTTATCTCTTTTGTCTCTGTTTGTGTGTTTTTAGTTATGTTTGACAGTCTTGTACTTAACTCTTAATCACTATTTCTGCAAATGTTGCATTAAGAATGAGTGCTTCATATCAATTTTTATACTTTTATGATTCAGAAATAACAATGTTAGAATATTACTGTGATTTTCAGTTCAGATTACATAACTAAGACAAAAGGAAAAATGAATGTTCACATTATAACCTTCCACAAAAAAATTGAATACTCCTTGATTACTACAGTAAGCTGTTATAAAATCATGCAAAATCATGCAAAAGGATCATTGGACTTGTGGTAGAGATGGGGTTAGGGCACCACACTCAAAAGTGTTCGGTGATTACAAAAATATAGGAAGAGCTAATAAAAACATTAAGGAGCCCTGGTTGTACAGTGGGTTAAGTGTTAAATTGCTAACTGAAAGGTTGATGGTTCAAACCTAGCAGCTATGCCGTGGGAGACAGATAAGGCAGTCAGGTTACAACCTTGGAAACCGTAGGAAACGTTTCTATTCTGATCTATAGAGTTGCTATCAGTCAGAAATGTTGGGGTGGCAGTGGGTAATAAAAACACTAACACAGTTTTAAATGTGTTAAATGGTTAGGAAGTACATAAATTCCACGATAAACATGATACTTTATTTTGAAACCCATCTGGTTTACTAGTGGTATTCGGCTCTTGAAAGGGTTGCAGCTCTTAGGTTATTATAGAGTGGTGGTAATCTATCAGAAATCATACAGAAGGTTGTCATTCCAGATGTGGATGGGTGTGGCGCTAGCACACATGGAGAACTGAGGTAGCTATTGGCTGTCTGAGGTATGTGTTTTGTGTAGTCCTCCTACTTGGCTCAGTTTAGCATATTGGTTTTCTACGTTCACTGAATGCTTCTTGCAAATAAAAAATGGAGCACCAGCAAATAAGAAATGTGCATTATGCTACTATTTAATGATGTTAGAACACATAAGGGTTTTCAAAACGAGTACTATAGTGAACTGTTTGCTAACCTTCCACCAAAGCCAATGAAATGCTATAAAAAAAAAGTCTTCTATCATTAATGGGGTCCTGGTGTGGTGCTGTAGAATAAGCATTGGACTGTAAGGTTGGTTTGAACTGCAAGGTTGGTGGTTCATACTCACCAACTGTTCCCCGGAAATCATAACGGGCTTGACAGCACTTAACAACAACAATTACTAATGGTATTCCAATAAAGTATCCAATAATGCTGACAAACAGAACAATTACAAATGGTATTCCAATAAAGTATCCAAAAATTGGTTAAAAACAGAACAACAACAGTAAGAAAAAACAAGGGATTAAGCCTTTACTACAAAGGGGCTTCTATTATGCTGTGGGATAAAGCACTGGACCGCAAGGTCAGTTTGAGCCTCAAGGCTGGCAGTTCAAACTCACCAGCCACTCCTTGGAAGCCTATACTGGGTTGGAAACAATTCAACAGCACTTAACAACAACAACAACAACAACAACAAAGGGGCTTCAAAAGGTTAATGGAAAAATGAAATGAAAAGATACTGGATTTCTTCCACAAACTTTTTGAACCTTGGCGATATTGTCGATGCAGTTTTAGACCATCACAATGAAGCTATCGCAGCAAAGTGTGCCACGTCAATGTTTTTGTTTCTCAGTACATATAAAAGTTATGTTTACACTATTCTGTAGTCTAGTATGTATGCTGCTGTTGGTATTAAGTGCCATCTGAGCCATAGCGACGGCTGTAGCATTATGAAAAAGTTCGAAATATTGTGAGAACTATGAAAATGTGACACAGTGACATTAGAGTACATGCTACTGGAAAAGTGGTAATTTTGTTCAAAACAGGGTTGCCACAAACTTTCAATTTATAAAAAGAGTCACAGTATCTGCAAATTGCAATAAAGTAAAGCAGAAGACAATAAGGTATGCCAGTAACTTCATAGCATATTCATTGAAGAGCTCCTCTTCCCTACCCCCTTCATCCTTTTCACTTTTCAGTAAGTAAATTTTGTCATGCAAGTTTCTATCATTAACTAATAAAATACTTCCAGATATAAAGACGCATATTACTACATGCTGAAGTTCACACAGTGAAAAGATTCAGTTTTACTTTTACTTCTTCAAGGATTAGCTACAGATACTCTCAGAATGGAGTATTTAATTATTTTTTGGCAACATTTGAAGCATGAGAAATGCATTCGAAACAGAAAACAAAAGATTCGCCTTGTGAGTCATCAAAGTGCTTTATTTTATAAAGCCCTGCTCATTTCTGGAGTGTTATTTTTAGCACTAGGAGATACTACGCAAACTTCCTCACTCTGTCCAAATAAACAGTTTTACCAACAGAAATGAATGACAGACTGTTACAGACAAAAAGAAAGCATTTTGTAAACTTCTAAAAGCATACACAGATTGGCCACAAAGGAAATGATTATTCAAATAATGTATGTGTACCTTCATTTTTACTTCAGGGTCTTGGGCCAAATAAACTACAGTTGCTTTGGAACACTGAAACTGGTCTGATGCCAGTATTAATTGGGGGATGGAGGAAGTAAAATCACAGTATGAATTTAAAGACATTGAGATACAGATTTGTGTAACTATGCGAGGGGGCTTTGAAACATTCATGGAAAAATGGAATTAAAAGATAATAGAATTGCCTCACACACACTTTCTGACATCCCCTCATATTATGGTTGTGTTAAACGTCATTTGCTGAGGGTAACAGATCTATGTAAATTCAATAGAGAGGGCACTGCTGCTGGCTTCTAAACATACTGTGATTTGCTACTTAACTGGTGCTTTCCGAAGTGAACTCACATAGGTCACGCATGAGTGCAGTCTTAATAGTACTGAAGTTAAGTTACTGGGGAAAGCATTATGGCAGGTGGGGTTGGTTGAGTTATAAGTAATTATTGAAGGATTTTTTTTTTTCTGAAACTGCCTACAAAAATCATCTCATGTTTTAAACAAAGAATTTCAAAGGCACAGCTTTAGCACAGTGTATAAATTGATCATCTATTCTACGCAAGTCTACTATTCTAGCTTGATACCTTTCAAAAAATGCAGGAAAGTTGGTAAATACATGATTGATATGGAAACTTACAGCTTGAAGAAAACACAATTAGCACAGTTTAGGGCAATGAATTTACATAATCAAATTGGGGTTAAATATTTAAAAAAAAATTAGGTTGATAAATGTAAATCTTGAGGAAATAAAATCACTCTTTTTTCCCTTTATTGTAAAATATGGTCTACCACGTACTTTGAATAAGACATTCAATCAAAAACATGACTGTGTGAGACATCTCAAAATATGACAAACAAACATTATTTCACCTACACAATAAAATGACTTTAAATGTAAACTTCAAAATTCACATGCTGTACATTAAATTTTTAGATTCAAAAGTATCCCTGTTTCCCTAATAATGTAAACAGTAAAACTGAGTTTCAGTTTAAGGGGATAATTCGTAACAAAATGCCACTGTGAAACAATGGCCAAACAGAAAAATATTAGAATTCAGATTTGCATTGGGAATATTGAGTTCCACCTCTTGGCTCACCTTCCTGTGGTGTGAGATGTAGATACCATTGCCCCAAACTATGCACTTTCCAGGTTACGACTTATTTGTATTTTGTAGCATGAATTCCTATATTGCAACAGAAGAGTGTAACAATGAGGAAGCTCCAGGGAAGAAAGAGAAGGAAGTAGTTTTCCTGGACACAAGTTATTGAGGTGAGATGTATAGACAGAGTCTGAGGGACATCAGTTTCTTGTCAGAGGAGGGGTGGTTGTGGCTGAGCTGGAGGTGGTCCTGACGCGCTGCACCCCAGGGAAGCCAGCACTCCCCCATTTGGTGCCACTGGGCTTGTGTTACAACTATTAAGGAGTGTCAGCGTGCGGGCTAAAAGTGTAACATTCGCAGTAAGTTTTTTTTCTTTTTAATCATCATTATTATTATCTTCATTATTATTATGAATACTGTCTCACATCTTTCAACTAAAAAAAATAATAAACTGATCCACAGTTTATTGCGGGATGTCAACATGGCTGGTCTGACATGCATTTTCCCCTCCCCCACATGTGCTCATTCATTCATTCATTCATTCAGCCACAGCTGGGATCAGAAAGCTGTTACCATAACAACACTCTAACCAAAGCTGATCGGTTTTCATTAATTTTTCTCCCTTTCTTTCTTCTTTTAAATTCACACACACAAAAAAAGTCAGAAATAGCTAGAAGAACTATGCTGGGAAATATCAGGTAGTTGTTAAAGCGAGTAGCCCCTAATCACGTCATCTTGGCCTGAAGATGTAAACAAGGAGGTTTGCTTCCTGCAAGATGAATGCTTCACTGAGTTTGGTTTTAATTTTTCTTACATGAAGCAACCTCTGTCCTTCCCACAGTGCATGTCCATCCAAGGCAGCCTGGGAGGTTACGTCAGGATGTGGCCAATAAAGTCCAAAAAGCGCTTTGAATACTGTTCTGGGTTCACCGTCGAGATCTCTGCACCAGCCTGGGAAGTTACAAAGGGAAGGGATATTGATAGAGAGCTTATGATTTCCAAAAATGGCTATTCATTATCTACAGCTATTTCTGATTGCAGTTCAATATAAAGCTAATGATTTTAAATCTATTCAGCCTCAGCCCTTAACACCTAGCTACTATGGCTGCATAATCAAGGGTCTGATGAATCTGCTTCTAAAATAAAGCAGAGAACGGCAGGGACAATAGATGCCATTATTAAACAGTGTGATTGCTACAACTTTAAATAAATGAAATTCGCTACACCTGGAATGCTTCCATCAAACAGTAAAACCTGTGTGGAACAACAATCAGCTTTTCAAGTGAACCCACTGGAGACACCTTGAGAATGGCAAAGACAAACATTTGGCTAAAGGCAAACTCAGACGATGATGACGTAAGGATTTTGCTCATTTTTCAGGACCCTTAGCTGAAGACAGAGGTAAGTGGTTGAATGCTTACAAACGAGAGGTGACAACAGTGGTAATGGGTTCCAAGGACAGCTGACGTGAGGCTGGCATGGAGCTGCCCCGGTACTTTTTCTCAGCTCCATAGCCAGGGATGCCGTAGAATGCATCTCCCCATGAGGGGAGGAGGCTGGCTTTCCTTAGCAGTGGGGACAGGGGTGCCATTGTTCCCTTCACAGGCTTCCAGTCAAGAGGCCTGGCCCCTTGCAGAAGTTCACTATAGGACTTTTACTACTAGATGCATAAGCTGGCAATCAGACTGAGCTGCAAAGGGCAAGACCAGAGTTTTACTAAGTTGCCAGATGCTATTTTTAGATACCCATACTCACCACTCCTGGGTGCATAAAATGTTAATTAAGTGCAGGACCACTAACCAAAAGGCTGGTGGTTCAAACCCAGGCATGAGTCCTAGGAAGTAAAGCTTAGAGCAAGGCCTGTAAACCCCTTAGGGAGTACTGAGTGCTACTCTTAGAATTGACTTGATGGCAACAAACAACAATGTGCTTGCTCACTGGGACACCTGTCATTTCCATATCTGGCCGGGATCTCCACAGAGGAGTGCAAGCCTTGAAGGCATAGAATGGCTCCCTGCAGTGCACAATACGACATTCCATTTGCTAAAGTAATGTCTTGTTCTTGCAAACTGCCCACAATTTCAGGCCATCTGGTACATTATGGAGCTTAACTGGTGACTTACTGGGGAGACTAAAATGGAACCAAATTTGCTATTTGCAACAGTACATTTCACATTTGATATGACAGTGCATCCTATTTAAAGACAGGAAGGGACCAAAGTTTACAAATCACCTGTATTTTCCCATACAATCTATGCGTGCCCTCAGAAAACCTCCTTAGTGAGTGGTTGTTGTTGTTGTTGTTGTTGGTGGTGGTGGTGGTGGTTGTGTGCCATGGAGCTGGTTCTGACACATAGCGGTCCTGTATAGGGTTTCTGCGGCTGTAAGTCTTACTGGAGCAGAAAGCCTCATCTTTCTCCCTCACAGTGACGGGTATATTAGAACTGCTGGCCTTGCAGTTTGGAGCCCAAATCATAACCTACTACACCACCAGGTTCCTTCATCAGTGATAGTAATGCCCCTTTATTCGTGGAGGAAACTGAAGCCCCAAAAGTATTTCTTCAAGGTCATAGAGCTCAAAGGTGAAGCAGGAATTCTGATCCAGTTCTGTCTCTGCAATATGTCTATGGTTTCCCTAGAGGTGAATATAGGAGTTAGTGTGGGGCCTTGTAAAGACCTCTCTTATGACCTCTTGAATTAGATTCAAACACCAAAGGAGGGTGGTTTACCAGGGATGTCCATATTAGACACGCCCAATGCTGGGTGAGAGGTACTGTGTTCCCACTTTTACTGATATGGGATGTCTGGCAGGTTCAGTGGGCTGGATGAGGTCTTGTTCATGCTCTGCATCCAACAGGCGCACCACAAACATATTTGTTGAAAATGGTTTTTGGCAAATGGAATATGGTCTTAGGCTGGCTCGACTTTATAGATGACAGGCTGCTTGCTTTCAAAACAAAGGCTTTGATTGTTCTGGTTTTTCTCTGTTGGGGAAGTACCTCTTTTCCAGTATTAACAAATCGGGGCACAAGTTCATCTGTGTGGGATTGACACTCTGACTTTTAGTTCATTTAAAAAGCCACACAGGATCCCTGTAACACAGGCATCACAGGGTACAGTGCAAATTGCAATGCTCAATCAGGCAGCCATAGGTCCCTGAGAGAGGAGAGGGGTCGGGGCTCAGGTGGGAAGTACCTCCATCACTCACTAGTTGAGTGTTGCTGACAAGTTACCTTTCAAGTGGTTTTCCTCAGTTTCTCCAACAGTCAATTGGGGATACCCCTAAGATCTCCTTCACAGTCTTGGTGGTGGAACAAGCTAATATGTACCTACTAACAACAGCTTCTGTGAGTCCATTTAGCTCCTGGAAACCTCATGTGTGGTACCACAGAGCTATGCACCACAGGATTTTGAAGGCTGTGATCTTTCAGAAGAAGATCACCGGGTCTGTCTTCCCAGGTGACTCTGGGTGGGTTCAAACTGTCAACCTTTTGGTTACTGTCTGTGCCACCCAGGACTAATGAGCTCCTAAGGATAGAACAGTGATCATCCAGAGCAACATGATAAAGGTGAGGAATTAATAGTAATTTTTGTAAGAGAAAAATACAATTTGCTCTGAGGAAAGAAAAAGACTATTGCGTATTTTGGAAGTATCTTAATCAGCGAATAGTACTTTAGTCCTGGGCATTTCCTATTTAAACACAAGTATCATCAGTACTTTTATCCTAAAAGACTTCTTCAAATGAAAAAAGAAGGCACACAGAATTCTACTGACGCAGGTTCTACTAATGTTCCTCGTGTGTAAAAAGATGACTTGGGGCTGAGTTTCAATGACTTACCAAAGTCCTGGGAGTCATCTGCACTCACAACATGTGCTCCTGCAGGTAACGGGCATCACTAACGGGCTCCCAGCAGCTTGCTTGCTGGCAGAAAGGAGCCACCCTGAGCTGGTCCCTGCACTACAGAGAGCATGAAGGGTCTAGAGAGTAGAAAGGAAGAGAGCAGGATACTTACACCGTGCTTAACGGTTTTTGCTGCATGGGCTGCTTTCTTTTTTGCATCATAATGAGTAAGAATGTCAATAATCGCCATAAAGTACACCTCTTTCCGGGGTGAGTCTGTAAAAGGATGAGAACAGTGATTGGGGCACATGCAGACTGGAGAAGGGTACACAGATGCAGTGGGGTGAGGTCCAAACACAAAAGCCACAGACGCCTTTGTACAAGTTAATTTAACTCCAGTTGTTAAGTGCTATTGAGTCCGTTCCGATTCACAGGAACCCTATGTAGGGCTTCAGAGGAGCAGTTGGTAGGTCTGAACTGCTGACCTTGTGGTTAGCAGTCCAGTGCGTACCCTACAGAGCCACACCAGGACTCCTGCATGTTGTTGTTAAGTGCCGTTGAGTCGATTCCGACTCATAGCGACCCTGGATAGGGTTTCTGATGAGCAGTTGATGTGTTTGAACCACCAATCTTGTGGTTCGCAGTCCAGTGCTTACATTGTTGTTGTTAAGTGCCATCGAGTCAGTTCTGATTCATAGTAACCCTGTATATGGTTTCCTAGGAGCAGCTGGTGAGCTTGAACCTCAGACCTTGCATTTCTAACAACTTTGCAGTCCAGGGCATTAACCCACAGCACCACACCAGGACTCCAATGCTTACACTGTTGTTGTTATTATGTGCCGTGGAGTAGGTTCTGACTCCTAGCGACCCTGTACAGGGTTTCCAAGGCTATAAATCTTTACAGGAGCAGAAAGCCTCAGTTTTCTCCTGTGGAACAGCTGGTAGTTTCGAACTGCTGACCCTGAGGTTAGCAGCCCGGCTTGTAACCACTATGCTACCAAAGCTCCTTATGTAGGCCTCCTAAAGAGGCATCTTAACTCTCTTACCAGGTTCCTTTTCAATATAAAAAGTGAAATAAAGAATCTGTTAAATGCCCCAGGTTATGAACAGGAGAGGTCCAAATGTGGGATTAAGTGGTTTTACTTTTAGCTAATCTACATTTTCTTTAGTGAATATGTATTGCTTTAGTGTAAAGGAAAAAAAAAAAAAAAAACTATTTGAAAAAATAAAGAGTATAAAACAAGTTAAACTAATCATGTTCATTACACCTTTCCTATCATGCAATGCAACTGCTCAATTAATTATCACTAGATATAGTATCAGAAATGGATAAATGCATAATTACATCCAGTACCAATTTCCTATAGATTTCCACAATTATAATACAGTTCCATTTATAGTAAGAAAAGTACATTTTTTGTGTGTGCTGAAGAAATTGTTGTTTTCATAAGCAAACCAAAACACAACTCAAACCCACTTGGTTGATATGCCAATGAAGACTTTCTTCGTAAATAATGAAGAACCATAACTTGGATTGCTATAAAAACAATTGGCATGATTTTATTATTATTCCTAAAATATTTGGGCTTTCTTATGTATAAGTGTGAAGCACGGTGGATCCATATGATAAGGACTGGATTGAGAACCACAAGGTCCACAGTTCAAGCCCACCTGCCACTCCACAGGAGAAAGATTCAGCTTTCCCATGAAGATTTAAAGCCTTAGAAACCTTGTACAGGATTGCTATGAGTCAGAACTGATTCGATGGCACTTAACAACAACAACATGTATAAATACTGAACAGAGAATATAATATTCCTTTAACTATACAGTCACCTAGCTAGCTATTGATGATGAAGAGGAAACCTTTTTCTATAGCAGAGGGATCCAGGCTCTGAAATGGAGAGCAGCAGAGGACAGGCCCAGCTGCAAGTCAGAAATTCCCTTCCCAAACACTGGGCCTGACTTCAGGGCTTCTCGGAAGGAAAGGGCTATAGGTGATGGTACACCTGCTTGATAAGATTTCTATGTGAGCCCCTAACCGGACAACGTATAGGAACCTAGCTCAGAACAGATTCACGATGCTTTTGACTCATAGAAAAGTGAAAGTAGCACGTTTGCTGTGTGCGTCAAGTTGATTCTGATTCCTAGGGACCTTATATGGCTGAGGAGAGCTTGGAAATCTTGGCTGTATCCTTTACAGGAGCAGATTGCTAAGTCTTTTCTCCTGTGGAGTGACTGGTGGGTTTGAACCACCCACCTTCAGTTAGCAGCTGAGCGCTTAACCATTTTGCCAGCATGGTTCTCTTCTCTCTCTGTGTGTATGTTGTTGCTGTTGTTTGGCGCCATAGAGTTGGTTCTCACTCATAACAACCCAGTATAGAGTTTCCGAGGAGCGAATGGTAGGTTTGTACTGCCCACCAGTTCCAACAGTCCAGTACTTCTTACACAGCATGCTATTAGGACCCCTATGTGTGGATATATACACACACATACACATATACATATACATGTATATCTACATATACACATTCGTTAGGTTGTTGTTGTTAGGCGCTGTCAAGTGGGTTCTGACTCATAGTGACCCCATGTACAGTAGAATGAAACGTTACTATATTTTAATATTACATAATTTAATTAATTAAAATAATATTAATTAAACATATTTCTTATCTGTATTACCTATACTTATATAGCAGCTCTGGTATGGCACTGTAGAGAGCACTGGGCTGCTAAGCACAAGGTTGGTGGGTCAAACCCATCAGTCTCCTCTATAAAGGGTTGCTATGAATTGGAAGATAACATATATAAGAAATATATTTAATTAATACTATTTTAATAAATTAAATAGATTCGATGACACTTAACAACAACATATAAACATATATACACACACACACATACTGTTGCTGTAGTTTGCCATCAAATCAGTTCTAATTCATATCCGCCCCATACTGGGTTTCTAAGATTGGCTGGTGAGTTTGAACTGTTAACCTTGCAGTTACCAATCCAGTATTTATCCTGTATAACCACACCAGGGCTCATATATACATAGATGTACACACAAACATACACCAACACACACAAGGGGCTTCCAAAAGTTCATGAAAAAATGGAATGAAAAGGTAACTGGATTTTTCCACGAACTTTTGGAAACCCCCTCCTATGTTTGTATGAGTGTGTATAAAAGTTTATAGTTTGACTCCATAACACCAACATCACAAAATTCAAGGACCTCAGCACATTTCATTTTAAAAGCAGAGATTACAGTTACCTTAAACACACTACTAGTTCCCAAATCAACTTATTTGGACTCTCGAGAATGAGTCTTGCAGGGCAGAAAGCTTTGAACGGGAACTATGATTATAGTAGACAACAATGCCAACCACTCCACACACATAAAGAGAGTTCATAAATAACTAAGCTTACTTTCATGGCATTTTATTCCATAAACATCAATGTTTGGATCAAATTCCCCTGGAGCCAAGGGTGGTGAGCTGTTCAGTGTATTTCCTGGACTGTCTGGAGGGGTTCCCACAGGGTGGGTCCCGTCGCTCTCCCCTTCGTCTTCCCCTTCATTCTCTTCACACTCAACGTCTTCTTGTTCCGCTCTCTCAACATCATGAATTCCCACTAGTAGGCTGTAGTCCATGAGCTTTAACTGGGCAAGAAACTGGAGGGTGGGACGTGAAACCATCAGTTATAAAACTTAAATAAAACAACAGTGTCAGGAAAATCACACAAAAGGGCAGGAGAGGTGAGGAGGGGGCTTCCTGAAAAGGCGGTGGGCACGGCCTGAGTTATGAGGCTCTCAGGCTCCCAGGCAGTTTCCCTGGCCAGAAATGCGTCCTCACACTTTGGGCTGGCTCACAGCAAGGATATTATGTTCCTTGAAATGCAATGCTGGATGCTGAGAGGCATGCATTTATCACATTGAGGGTGGATTACACCAAAGAGCAGAAAGCATGACTGGCAAGAGAGAGACACCGAGAAAGGGGAGAGAAACTTTCTCCCAACAATTAAGATCTGCTAATGGTAAAACCCAGGGACCTCCCAAGTAGTTTCCAACAGAGTCTCTCAGAATAGTTTGTGAAAGCATTTAGCAATTCCACACACTCCACTGAAGAGATTATGCTGCTGCCCATCACAAATAAGTAAGAGGCTAAATGTCTCAATCAACTAGCAAATGTACTACGTAACTGCGCTGGTGAACAACACAGTCCTTCTGTCCTCCTTATGGGCTGGTTGCTTTCCATGAGACACCTCAGGCCCAGGATTCCTGTTCTCCCATCCTCGCCTGTTCAAGTCAAGGCTAGAATGTCCCATGGAGGCAAGCCAGCTCTGTGGGCTTGGCTGCTCCTGTCTGCCAGGTTTTCTTTTGGACTTTTCATGCCATGATGATTCTTCTTTTTTGCATAAAGACACCCAGATACATAACCTTAAGCACAAGGTTTTGCTTGATCACTTAAAATGGTATTGTTGTTGTGTGCCGTGGAGTTGGTTCCGACTCATAGCGACCCTGCACAGGGTTTCCAAATTACTGAGGACAAAGTGCGCCCACCCATCTGCTGGCTGGAACTAACAGGTCCCCATCTCCCAGCTGGCTGGCTCTGTCCAGGGCAATTCAGCTCTGGCTCTGAGAGAACATGGTGCCAGGCTCACTTGGCTGATGTAGAACAGCCAACCGACCTCTGGTTTACTCTGATAGAATTTAGAAAACTTCTTTAGACAAAAGGCAAGGGTATAAAAGTGTAGGTCTTGACGCTCTGGCTGAAGGTGAAATGAAATTGATCTTCTGACACCTGCAGAAGCTTTCTTTTTCTGAGGCTTTCAGGAGGTAGCTCAGTGTCAGATCTGGAAGAACAGCCATGCGCCCTTAAAATGACAAGACCAGGTGCTGCAGGCTTTCTCGGGGAGAAATGTACAGCCCAGCTGTTGCTAAGCCTTCGACTGACTTTGCATCAGCAAGGACTCTCGGTGCCTGCTCACCTCCACTGCTCTTTAGCAAACATTTCCTTGCCTTTCCACCAAGAATCCCTAGGGCCAGGCTCAATCGCCCCATTTATTTTGAGCTCAGAAAAACAAAAGTCTGTAGGACGGAGTACAACTAATGCTCCTAGGGTTTCAGAGACTATAGATCTTTATGGGAGCTGACAGCTTCATCTTTCTCCCACGGAGTGGCTGGTGGGTTGGAACCACTGACTTTATTGTTAGCAGCCCAATGTTTAACCCACTGCACCACCAGGGCTCCTTGGTAAAAGATGCTTTATCAAAACCGAGGGTCAAAATCCTAGGAAGCTGAGATCCTGCTTCTGGCTATTCCTCTCAACTGTTTTCTGAGCCCCAGGCAGGAAGCTGCTGATTCCCATGGCTTTTCTCTACGCTCCCTCCCTCATTACCGAATGACAAGAACTGACTTTTCCTTTCTGCCTCCTCAACCAGACTGTTTCTTGCTGTAGTCAAAGAATCTCCCATCAAGCTGGCTGGGCTCCAGAGCACAGGTACCCTAACCATACATGCCTGGGTGGATACACAGCCACATACACTGTGGCTGGCTGCTCCGGAGCATCATCAAGTTTAAGAGAGTAATATTGCGTTACTCCATTACCAACACAGTGCCTGCCGCCTAGCCTCTTGGCTACCTGCCTGCTTAACTTGGGACCCATGTGGTGTGTGAGAGAAAAGGTGTCGCCACTGGGCACAGAGTTGGCCGACCTCATGCAAGACATTGCTGGGGGCACAGAAAGATGAAGAAGAGCTCCCTGGAGATCACCACGTTAGGTAAAGTGAAGGATCAATGAAAAGAGGAAGATCCTCAACAAGATGGAGTGACACAGTGGCAGCAACAATGAGCTCAAACATAACAATTGTAAAGATGGTGCAGGCCTGGGCAGTATTTTGTGCTGTTGTACAAAGAGCTACTATGAGTCAGAAGTGACTTGATGGCACCTAACAGCAACAATTCAAAGCCCATGTCCTTTACACTGTATCATGGAGGCTACATGAAAGCAGTTTCCTCAATCTCATTGTTTAAAACACTCCTAACAGAAAGGCAAATGATGTCTGAGAAGAAATTCTCTCATAGTGATGTTCTATTAGGGCATCCAGGCAGCAGCCTTGCCCACACAGACATGATCTCGAACCCCTTTCCCCCACTTCAGCACCTTGTAGATCTTGAGTTTGAGAAGTATAAGACGAAGATTATTACAGTTGAGGGTACGAAATTGTATCCTGATACTCAGCAGATACAACTGGCAAGGTGCTCGCTTAGTGACCCTGCTTCTATCCAATCTTTTGGCCCAAAGTTTCTAGGAACTGTGCCCATGGCTGAGCTTGCCTCTGGGACCCTGGAGAAAAGGGCCTTTCTTGTTTGCCTCCTCCACTGTCTCTCTATGTTGAGTGTGACGCCGGGTCCCAACTCCATCATCGAGGACATCTCTGTCTGCTTCCACCCCACTGCCATCTGGGAAGCCTACAGAGGCAGCAGACAGAGCTGGGAGGCAGGGGGTGTGGGGCTACCAGAGTCCTTGTGTGCACAGTAGGTGAGGACTGGACATCACAGTAGGTGTTGGCTTGCACGACAGCAGGGAGAGACCCTCTTTCTCTACCCCTGGTTCCCTTGAGGTCCCTGGGAAGTGCTAAAGGTGGATGATGAACAGCCCCCTCCAGTCCCTTGGAAAAGAAAGATCTTTTCAAACGGCACATTTGATCATGCCATGCCTCTGCTTAAGATCTTTCAATGGTGTCTCCTTCTTTGTAGGGCAAAAGCTCTACCATGGCCAAGAGGTCTGGAGAGTCTGGCTTCATCACCTCTCTGAACCTTCCTCTTCTGGGGCCCATTACCTCCTCCCAGCCATTAAACCTCAGCTCTAGGGGCCCTTGTGTAGGAAAGCCTTTCCTGGCTTCCTGAGAAGGGTGCACTCCTGGTCATTCATAGCATCATGTACTTCTCCTTAACGGTCCATGGCTTCGCTGCACGTTCTTTTGGTTGCATTACACTGAGTAACATCTGTCTTCCCCACACAGCAGCATGGGGAAGAGATGGGTTGTGTTCACTGTTGCTCTTACTGTATTCCTAACTCCCAGCATGCAAAGGGTTCATGGTACCAGTTCCAATTACTATAGAGTTAACTCTGACATAGGACAATCCCATGTGTGTCAGAGTAGAATTGTGCTCCAGAGTTTTCAATGCTGATTTCAGAAGGAGACTGCTAGGACTTTCTTTTGAGATACCTTCCAGCCTTTTGGTTAGTAGCTGTGTTTGTTGACTGTTTCCATCATCCAGGGACACTGAACTCATGGCAAACACACAGTATTTATTAAAGGAATTAATGGGACACCTGTTCCTTCTTCCCCAGTTCTCCTTTAACTTTTTCTGATCCTCCTTAGATCCCCATCTCCAAAAAATAACAACGCAAACCAAATAAAAACAAAGACCAAAGCAACACCCTTTGTTTGAGACACAAGCAGCAGCTACTATGTGAAGCACAATGAGACCATTAACAATGTACCTGACTCTCGGGACCAGAGCAGCTCTCTCTCGCTCATTTTTTTTTAACATGGTCTACTGTTTGACAGCTAGCAGTTGGACTTTGAAATAAACTTTCAAGTATGCTTTATGTACAAGAGTAAGGGGCTGCCTGTAACTTACTTGCCAAAGGTCAAACAGGGAAGGATGGCAATGGGGCTGGGTTGCATACTACATTGGGTCCCCCAAACCAAGTCTTCCCCACCCATCTGTTGCTCATAAAGGCGGGACAGGCCTGCGGCACATTGCCTGGGCCTCACGGCCTGTGGTGTGACCACTGCTCAGCCGCCTCTTGCTTTAAGGAAGCTTTTACCTAATAAATACAAGTCAGTCAGCTCACGGTGCTACTCACTAAGCCATAACAAGATGAAAATGCATCTCTAGGTGAGATGCTGTTCTGACGCTAACCAAGAAAATCAAGGAAACCAATTCAGTCTCAATTGGGTATTACACGTTTTTATTTTCAAATCGATGTGACTGTGGCACAGAAATGGAAAAGACCCAATACAGTACAGTGGTTTGGATGGTTTACTCTAGGCTTTGCTGATGGATTATTACTCTTTAAAGTATCAGGTATGGTGGGGAGGAAAAAAAGAGTTTAGGTTTTGGAGTCATATCTTTTATTTGTTGTCACTTACTAGCCCTGGGACTTGTCAATTAGTTCATTTCTCTGAGCTTCAGCTATCTGATCTATAAAGGGGAGCAGAAAGCATTCCAAGGGGTATGATGGCTGAGGCAATGAACACAGTGTCTCGATGTGACCATGGAAGCTGCTGTTCTAATTGTCAGCCTTGTTATTATGGCTGAAAGTCTCCCCCAGCCCTCCCCACCAAGCATGAAGGTTTGAACATGTGTTCAAGTTAGGTCTGTTAAGAGGAGACACATGTGGAAAAGCCCTGTGTTTCATTAGTTCTTAGCTTTATAAACTTTGTTTAAAAAAGCTCTTCTGTAGTAGAGTGAAATGAAAGGTGGCAAAAAGTTGGAGGTACTTATTAGGTAAAATTCCTGGTGGGTATCACGAAACTACTGTGCACTGGAAGCTTACAGGTTGAGAGGGAAGATGAGAGAAAGGGAACAAGGGCCCACTGTGGGGTTTTGCCTCAAGCTGATGTTAGGGACTTAATACATATGTCCTCTTTTCTCTGTCCACCCCTTTAAACTTCTAATTCAAATGGACTGCTTTTATAAGTATATAGATTCCAAAGCTTGAAGATTTAAAAAGCTATATAATCTTTCAGCCCTCCTGCTTCTCCTCACTTCCAACTTCTTAGTAATTACCCACAGACCTTTGATCCACAACCTTTTCCCTCAGAATGTCCCAACTAATCTGATTCCTTACTGACAAATTCCTCATTAGGCCAAATCTTTGAGCTAGTATCTTCCTCAAGATCTTTACCAGCTCTGGTACAAACTCTTCTAGAAAACTATGGAGCAAAGGCACTGTTAATATACTATCTGTTCATAACAGATTTAAATCAATGTTTTTTGCCAACACATTTTGTTCTATTGAATTACCACATCCAACCTATTTATAATGAAGAATTAAACTTGCAATCAGCCACTTTACAGTTGTATTTGGCCACTTGTTTAAATAAATCACAATAATCTTTGGAGAGTATTTAATAGAAAAAAAAATCTCATCTGTATTCTCAGAAACATTTAAAATTTTCATTTTGTATGTGAGGAGTTAGGAGTATGGCCTCTGACTACCTCAGATCCCAATTTGAATTTAGTAGCTATGTGTCTTTGGGCAAATTACTTTGCGTCTCTGGATTCAGTTTTCTCACTCGTCAAACTGGGATAACACCTGTTCTCAATGGAGTTGCTTTAAGAATAAAAAGGGTAAGATGCATGTGTAGGACTTAGGCTCTGCACGCTCCATAAATGTTGGCTGCCACCCCACCCCATGCTCTGCCCCACGTCCATAATCATGTGTGAGTTCAGATGTCCCAGGAGAGCAGCTCTTGGACACCTCCAAAAGAGCACAGTGTTGCACTGTGTGAGGTTTATACCTCAGTGGGAGCCAATGAGAGGAGACATCAGCACGGGCTCTCCAACGTCATACATAAGCAGGACATAAAGCAAAACTGATTTCCACTCGCATTAGAGCACTTGCTTGAGAAAAGAGCTCACACATGCTTAGTTATGTACAAAGGTATCTGAACACGACACACTGATAGTACAAAGGGATTTCAATTGTAGAAAAAAACAGCTAGATGGTGAGATGACAATTCTTTTCTTTTGCCTGCAAAAATGGATGATTTATTGCACCACAATCAACTCTTCTACTTTAAATATTAGCTAGAAGAGATGAGAGAGAGAGAGAGAGTGAAAGACTGTATTCAAACTCAAACAGTTAAGCCAGTCAGCTAAGTTAGAACGCACGGAATTGATGAAAAAGAAAACTAGATTAAATTCTAGCCTCATTATCAAGATCAGATGTCAGGCTACTTCACCATAATTACCTGCTTAAATTTTAATGATGCTTCTGCCTGAATTTAAAAAGTAAGACACTGTTATCAGGCATTGAAAATATTTCTTAATGAAAGAATGCATTATGCCCTGCATTCATTTCAACAAAACTGGTAAGTGAGAGAGCCGCGTATGGGATTAAACTATCCAAATCCTCTAATCAACGACATTATTAGAAACAACAAAAGAGCTAAGAGGATCCTTATGTAATTCAACTGTAAATCTGAACTGCATGACTTACATTATTCCTGGAAGTCAAAATAGCATAATGATACATAGCCAACAGAAGGAAACAAAAAGAGATGAAAACAACTTTTTTGGCAAGTCACTGATAACCCTAAGGGCTACTTTCCATAATTGCTACATTATTCTCAGATCAAAGATTTGCTGATGAATCAATAAAATTCCAAAAGACAGTGTGTTTACCTATGGTACTTGGTGATCAAATAACATTGGCCCCAAAGTAAGGAAGAAATGCTTAGCTAATGTCTTATTTTAAAATAATAACTACTGACAACTGATGAAAAAGAAATTTTCATTAATGAAAGACTGAAGGAAATGTTACATGATAAATGTAGACATTTGAATTTACTTTTTTTTTTAAGTAGACAGTTGCAGCTTTCACAAACAACCAGCATAAGATTTTAATCTAAAAATGTACACCATGAATATTAAACTAACGTAAACTTTTTAGTATAAGTAATTATGAGCTAACTGGGTCAGTCAGAGTGTCTTACAATAAAGAAACTGTTGGAAGATTGAGAAAGGAGATTAAAATATTGCTCTCGACTTGATGACAATGGATTTGCGTTCATGGGGAATACATTCTAATAGATACTGTTCAGTCTTTGACTCAAGTAATTTCAATTGCTTTTGTTTAATGCCATGAAAACATCCTTTCGAAAAGGCTCTTTCTAAGTAGCAGGTTTGTATTAGCATGATGGGAATAGCATTTCAAAGTTAAAAACAAAAACCACGCACACACACATGAATAAAAGTAACAGGTAAGAAAAACTCAGGTTAGTATTTGCTTAATTTAGAATTCCCAATGCAATGTCTTGTAACAAATTCTAAGACAATAACCGTTCCCCTGAATTTAGCTCTACATTATTTTTTTCTTTTTCTAAAGGAAGAAATAAGGAAGTCAAATAGGGAAGCTGCAATACCTTTATTAAAATCAATAAAATGATAGGAAAAGGTGTATTTTTAATTCTTAAACAAAACAAGGCTGAAAAAGAAAACACTGTCATAGACTAAAAGTCCATTTCAACATACTTTATCTACTACCCACAAATGTTCAAAATTGCCCCTGTGTAGTTTTCCCTTGTTGAGTTGGAGGCTGGCTTGCTGGACCTAATGGTACTGTTCATAGAGGCTGGTGGAAACACTCAAAGCATTGAGCTACTGAGGCTGTGTTGACCAACACTGAAACATGGCTTCCAAATAACGAAGCTCATCAATTCTGACTCCTGGTGAATCCATAGGACAGAGGGTTTCCAATCTTAAGAGTTCAGGTATAGCAATGTAGGACAAGCACTGGCTTGTTAATGGCAGGGTCAGTTGTTCAAACCCACCAACCACCCATTGCAAACACTACACAGGGTTGTCATGAATTGAAAACAGTTCAACAGCACTTAACAACAACAACCTTTACAGAAGCAGACTGCCACATCTTTCTCTCACAGAGAGAGCAGCTGGTGGGTTTGAACCGCTGACCTTTTGGTTAGCAGCTGAGTGCTAGCTGCTAGTACTGTACTACTAGGGCTCCTTGAGATGTGGTTCTTGGGTGGGGAGAGAAACCAAAAACATTTGTTTTTGATATGCTCTGCTGTTGGGCAGAATTCACTACTCTGTCCACCCCTCAGCCAGCCAGGTTGCTCTGGCCAGTCTGCATGGGTTACTCACAGGTTATCGCCATTGACACAGAACACGGGAACCTGAAGGTGGGCTTCTCATCAGAAGATGGAAGGTACTCACTTTTATGTTAGCTAGAGGTGAGAGGCGCAGGACTGTTTAGTTCTTTTTTAAGTCTGATTATATAATATGAGATATACCCATGGATATCGGCTTTCGATAATGTAGATCATACTTGTTGCAAATTTAAATAGATGGTTTTAAAAGCTCCTAAGATCCAGCAGTGTCGACATGTATACAACTGTGCTGCCCTTTACACTGATTTTTCTTACCTCAACATCCTTTTTCAGTTTTTCCAGGAACATCTTTTTGTTGTTGTCATCAATATAAATCTTTTGGCCCTCATTAATGAAATCATTATCCTTTAAAGTTGGCAGTTCTTTGGCCTAAAACAAATGGGAAAATAAGAAAGAGGCTTGAATAAAACCTAAAAAAACACTTTCACCTTCTAACCCTGGAAGTGGTCTGTCCTCTTCTCTGTAGGGGTTGTACCCAAGGCAATGGAATGTGAGGTGGTTTTAATACCGCTAGGGGGCACCAGTGAGCTATGACCACTGGAAGCATTCCCACTAGGGAAAGAGGGTTAGACATACTCCATATTATGAAGAGTTTGTAACCCATTTCTTATTATTCATATGCAGGAACCTGAATACTTTCTTAGGTTCACTTTCTTACAAGCAGTCATCTAAGTATAGAATTCTCAATCTTGGTTCCTTACTTTGTCAGGAACCCTCAATTTTTTCCCTGGTATCCATCCAAGTCTACAGGATAGCCTTTGCAAGGTTCATGTTACGAATCATGTATTATCTTGTCTTAGAAAAGTCCCATCCATAATCATTAGATCTAGTTTCAGACGCATGGAGAACATGCAGCCAGGGGTTGGCCATCTACTCTGCCAAGTCTGCTCTACCAAAAGGGAGGTCTGGTCTCTTTTGGACACTGTCTGAAAAAATGTTTTCTTTGAACATAAAACATAGTTAAGATGGAAATTTACAAATAAATAAGAGATGGCAGCTAGGGAGTAAACTGCACTTCCAAAGACTAATGCAAAGTAATGGGCACTTGTCAAAAAACAAATCTTGGCACTATGGAATATAGCATATGGTGACGGTGGTGGTTATGTGCCGTCAAGTTGGGACTGACTCATTATAATGACCTGTATAATGTTATGAGGCTGTAAATCTTTATGGGAGCAGAAATCCTCATCTTTCTCCCATGGAGTGACTGGTAGATTTGAACTACTTCAAGTTTCTCCCATTGGTGACTGGTAGATTTCAACCGCTACCAATGTGTAACTCACTACTCCATTAGATCTCCTTACAGCATACAGGCAGATGATTTTAAAGAGGTGTGGACTGTTCTGTTTAACATGGTACAACTTGAATTCTGAGACATCAAAACTTTCCCCCTTCTTTCATTTAAACATAGCTAATTTTCCCAGCTGAAAGAAATACAACATAATACACAGTTTTATTGGTATACCAGTGTACCTCTACACAGGTCTCTGTTCTTTAAATGGGTAAATGAATAATCCAAGGAAAGAATTTATTCTCTTTCTTGGCCACTTTACTACTATCCCTTATGCACAGTGATAAAAGAAAATAGACTACATATATCTATTGGATCTTCTTTTAAAGCCTAAAAACTCCCCCTAGTTTAAAAAAGCATACACCTGTGTGTAAACTAACATTTATTCATCCGCATATATACACACACAGTATACAATCCAAATTAGTAGCTTTGACTACTAATTTCATTTGAGAACAGAAAATTTGAACACCTTGCAACTTTGAGTTTGAGAAAATTATTGTCAAAATAATTAGCCTTAGAAAGTAGGCATGGTAAAGCTTAGAAATCCAAATATTCAATTAAATACCAGGTACTGAATGAATAGGCCAACTCTCTATTCCAAAGATGTTTATAATTTAATATGGGAGGGAGATGTGCAAGTAGGTAGAAAACAAGGCAGTGAAAATAAGGACAACACTGGGGGAGAGACTAAATGATCTGCTTTCAAACACTTTTATACTGAGTCTTACAAAAATAAAACACACCACTATTCAACATTAAGGATGGGCCTGATACCTTCACCCCTAACTCTGTCATTAATAATTTTAAAATAATGTAATAAACATAAAATAACGTAAAACAACAACCAACCTGAACATATAGGAGATAACACATTAACGTTCAGTGTTTGAGTTAAATGTTGGCGTCACAGTAAACAACAAGGGGCTGTTTGATTCCAGTAGGACAGTCAATAGAAGGAAATTACACAGCGAAGGAAACATGCCATTCTAAAGTTTAACCAGAACTCAATCAGAAAGCAATACAAAGATTTTATTGTTGTTAAGTGACGGCATGTTGTTCCTGACTCACAGCAACCTTTCAGAGGAGTGGTTGGTGGATTTGAACTACCGATCTTGTGGTTAGCAGCCCAGTGCTACAGTACCACACCAGGACTCCAATACAAAGAAAGATAAGCACTGCTAAAAATACAAAATGGAGAGTGACTGGCAAGAAAAGGCTGAAGCCAGGTCTACACATAAAACCAGATAAGTTGACGAAAGATCGTGATTCAGTTTTGGACATAGCGATATTTTGAGGACGAGGGTGTATATGCATATGAGGGGAAGGTGGTAAGGACTAAGATATCTGTCTCAACTCCACAACTCATTTTATAGGTGTAAGAAAAGAGGGGGAGTGGGGTTTTGTGTTTTTGTGTAAGAGAAACCTGAAAGCAGGGATGATGGAGTACAGACAAGGCAGTAAAGCACACCTTAGATACGTGTTTGTAATACAAGTCACATTAATGAAGACGAACGCCACTTCTCAGTTCACCCTAGCAGAATTACCTCATGTGTCAGGGAAACTATAATCCTACCTCATAAAACTCTGGACACCCTGTACTATATTACGAAGCTTGTGAATTTCACAGGCACTAGGGACATATTTGGAGTTCTGGTGTGGTGCTGTGGGCTAATGCGTCAGACTGCAAAGCCATTTGAACTGCAAGGTCAGTGGTTCAAGCTCACCAGCTGCTCCTTGGAAACCCTATACAGGGTCGTTATGGGTTGGAATTGACTCGACGGCATTTAACACCAACAACAAAGGGACATATTTAGATTGGACCAAGTTCAAAAAAGGCCAGCAAGATTGGTTAAAAGACTTAAGTATTTACTGAAAGAATCCAAAGGCAATGGCATATCCTTAGCATGGCAGCTAGTAAAGAGGAATCCAACACAGGTCTACACATGCCCACCTTCCCAAAGTTTGTTGTATGGTGGTGGTTAGGGGGATCAGGGCTTTAGAGTCATGACTTCTGTGGTTCCAATCCTGGTTCCACCTCTAACTCACCAGGGTCCAAGCACCAGTTTCTGTATCTCTGCAGTTACAAATTGGGTTGTGAACTGTAAGGTTAGCAGTTCGAAAGTACCAGCTGTTCCGTGGGAGAAAGAGGAGGCTTTCTCCTCCCATAAAGATAACAACAACAACAGTAAAGATACCAACAACATCAAGCTGTGGGGAACACAGCTGCAGCAGCTTGCACACTGGGCCAAATCTACATCATCTCCTGTGCTTTTCCCAACAACCTTCACTACTCTTCATCTCTTCGCTTTACAGAACAGGAAGGACTGAGTTTAGAGAGGTTATGCAATTTTGCTAAGGCCTCACAACCTAACCAACGGTGAGCTGACATGTGAACCCAGGCAGCCTGACTCCTAACCACTGCTACTACAGAGTCGCTCTGAGATTTTAATAGAAAACACGTGTGACATATGTAGGCTTGTGAGTGATGACTGTCAGCATCATCTCTATGAGCATTCAGTAAACTGTAGTGACTGTGTGAATTTAAAACCAGGACTACAGGGTGAGAGATGGAGCTCTGGTAGCGTAGTGGTTAGGAATTGGGCTGCTAACCTCAAAGTCAGCAGTTTGAAACTACCAACTGTTCCAAGGGAGAAAGATGAGGCTTTCTGCTCCCATAAAAATTTACAGCCTCAGAAAACCCATTCAGGGCCACTGTGAGTTGGAACCAACTCCACAGCACACCACCACTACCACCACCACCACCACATGAGAGACTGCAAACAGGATACTTAAAAAAAAAAAAAAAACCAACTCTGATTAAATGTAAAACTTGTGTCTGTAAACCTTCATTCGATTCAAAATAAAAGTGGAAAAAGAAAAAAATCCAGTCTGCCCCTCTAATGCTGTTGTTATTGTGGAGTCGGCTCTGATACACGGTGACATAGGGGGAGGGTGCTGGTACCTGCGCCATATTGCTGATCATTGTGAGCATTATGAGCACCTTCTAACCTAGGGGGTTCCCCTGCCAGTACTACGTCAGACATTCTTCTGTTGTGGCCCACAGGGATTTTTCACTGGTTAATTTTTGGAAATAGATTGCAAGGCCTTCTTCCTTATCTATCGTAGTCTGAAGTTTTACTGAAATCTGTCCAACATGGGTGGCCCTACTAGTATTTCAAATACTGGTGGCATAGCTTCTGACATCATAGCAACTGACAGGTGGGTGGTGGACCCCTCTGATAATGAGCAGATGATTTATATAAAAGGCCTCTCAAGAAAGTGAGGAAAACTGTTATATTATGACTCGGAAACTTGAATGAATTCTCAGTGTAAAACTGCCCACAAAGGTAATGTCTGCAGAGCAACACAGAAATGACCGTGTGGAGTGATTTCTTAACGTAACAACAAATTCTACCGTTTGTTTTCAAAGGTTGCCTTATTTGCACTTTGTTGTTGTTAAGAGCTGTGGAGTCAATTCTGACTCATAGTGACCCTTATAGGGTTTCCAGGGAGCAGCTGGTGGGTTTGAACTGGCGACATTGTAGTTCTCAGTCCAGTGCTGATCCTACAGCACCATACCAGAAGTTATAGGGTTTTCCAAATCATAACCTTGCAGTCAAGGAGCCTGGTTCTCTAATGGGCATCTTTTATACCATTTATCTGGCTTCCCTGGGTGTCAAGACAGCTTAGCCCTCCATTATGAACTGAAAGGTTTGAGGCTCAAGTCCACACAGAGGTGCTTCAGAGGAAGGCCTGGCAATATGCTTCTGAAAGGTCATCCATTGAGAAGCCAATGGAGAGCAGTTCATAGGAGGGTTGTTTGTCTGATTAATAATTCTTCTACTTTAGTGCAGAACTGCCAGAGGATGAAGACAACTACCAAGACTCAAGACATCAGGCTTAGAAAAGCACTTGAGGTGTGTGTGGGGCCAGTGGTCAGCAACCTTTAAATGGTAGTAGGCAAGGAGTTCTAAGGAGCTCTGGTAGCGTAGTGGTTACGAATCGGGCTGCTAACCTTAGGGTCAGCAGTTCGAAATTACCAGCTATTCCGCGGGAGAAAGATGAGGCTTTCTGA